GGGAAGTTGGGATATTTGGGAAGCCTCTGAGGGTGGGCGCACATGCAAAAACCAGCACTTTGTATCACTAGAAGACACTGGAAGATGTCCAGAAAGTAACATTCTATTAGAGAATGTGATCAATGTCACAGCACACCTCAGCAAGGAAGGACCTTAAAGTCCATTCTTTACAGATAGAGAGAGGAAAGCAAGCTGCTCGAGGTCACGTGATAACTGTGACTTGAACTCAGGGGGAAATCCAGAGATACAAATTCAATGTAATAATTTGGTTTATTACATTCATTCTCTCAAATCATGATCCACTACAGGGAAAGCGACAGGAAAAAGATGGGTGAACCCTGAGCACTCCACCTGTCCTAAGCAGGTGTGCGCATAACGTGAGTGCTATGGCAGAAGACGAGGTCCTGGCATGTAATTACAAGTGTAATCGTGGTCCCCTTGTGCCCTTTCCCGGCAGCGCCCTTTTCCAGGACAAACTTGGGGAAGTGAATACCTACGCGGTTGACTTACAGAAGAAGGTGGTGCCCTTCGCCACGCAGCTGCATGAACGCCTGACCAAGGACTCGGAGAAGCTGAAGGAGGACATTCAGAAGGAGCTGGAGGACCTACGGGCCCAGCTGCTGCCCCACGCCAATGAGGTGAGCCAGAAGATCGGGGACAACGTGCGCGACCTGCAGCAGCGCCTGGGACCCTACGCGGTTGAGTTGCGCACCCAGGTCAACACACAGGTGGAGCAATTGCGGCGCCAGCTTGCTTCCTACGCTCAGCGCATGGAGACCATGCTGCGTGAGAACGTGGACAACCTTCAGGACTCGCTGACGCCTTACGCCGATGAGCTCAAATCCCAAATCGACCAGAATGTAGAGGAGCTCAAGGGGCGCCTCACTCCCTATGCCGACGAGCTCAAGGTCAAGATCGACCAGAACGTGGAGGAGCTGCGCCGCAGCCTGTCTCCCTTTGCACAGGACGTCCAGGAGAAGCTCAACCACCAGCTTGAGGGGCTGGCCTTCCAGATGAAGAAGAACGCTGAGGAGCTGAAGGCCAAGCTCTCGGGCAACGCTGAGGAGCTGCGGCAGAGGCTGGCGCCCGTGGCCGAGAAGGTGCGTGGCAACCTGAGGAGCAACACCGAGGGGTTGCAGAAGTCTCTGGCCGAGCTGAGCAGCCACCTGGACCGGCAGGTGGAGGAGTTCCGCCGCAACGTGCAGCCCTACGGCGAGACCTTCAACAAAGCCTTGGTGCAGCAGGTGGAGGAGCTCAAGCAGAAACTGGGCCCCTATACGGGGAACGTGGGAGGCCACTTGAGCTTCCTGGAGAAGGACCTGAGGGACAAGGTCAACTCCTTCTTCAGTACCCTCAAGGAGAAAGAGAGTCAGGACAAGCCCTTGGCCCTCCCGGAGCAGGAGCTGACACAGGCCACCCTGGAAAGCTGAGCTGCCCTTGATGCTCACACCCCTCCCCTAACACCTGTCCTGTCCTGCCCCCTGTCTGTCGTTCTGTCCCAAAGCAATTCTTGTATGAGGTAGAGGGCACGTGTCCTGTGGAAAATGACACTTCCTCTAGCTACTCAATAAAACTGCTGAGAAACTAGCCCAGGCGGGTTGCAGTGTGACTTCTCAGCATTGCTGGGCCTGAGGTGGGGACGAGATTGCTGCTTGGCAAAACTTAGCAGGGGCCAGCGAGGGATACTTTAAGGGATATCAGGGCTGGGGAGATGAAACTGTGGGAGGGCCAAGGACAGGGTATGCTGGGAGGGGTGTGGGAAGTGCACTGAGGGGGAGATAAAAAAAGATGCCACACATTATTCAAAGACGAAATAGGCAAACCACTTGTAATCACTTAGCTAACAGATATTTGTTGAGTGCCCTCAGTGTGTGGGTTACTACTGTTCTAGGCACTCAACAATGACCAAAACAGCTTTTGTGGATCATGGGTCTGACACTGTGCTTCACTATGATGGGGCCACCAAAGCAAGTAAGACATGGTCCCTGGCTTTGGAGAGCCCGTGGCACAGTGGGAGGGACTGTCTCTTTTTGAATTAGCTCTTCTGTGCCTTTAACTTGACATATTTATGTAAATTTTGGATTAGTCCACCCCACCCCACTCCCATTACAAAATCTATTTGTGCTTATTTCAGAAATTTCTTGGCTGCTAAACCCATGGTTTCCAAAGTTGAGGAATGAGGCCTAGAGACATGGATGAGTCCTGGGAGGAGGGGTAAAGCAGGTGCCTGGGGCCTACGGGGCCCTTGTGTGCTCTGCCTAGGTGCCTCCTGCAAAAGGGCCTGCCTGTCTGGGGCTGAGGTTGCCAATCGCTGGGGTACAAGGCAGAGAAAGGGGAGTTGGACGCAAGCAGTCTCATCAGCACATCCAGCTGTGGGCAGCTACAGCCTCTGGAGTAGACTCTCCCACTACCCTCGGTCACTCACAGACTCCTCAGGGAGAAAGCCTCAGAGAAGAGCCATTCCAAGCCTTTGTCCCGGATGACTTATATCCTGGCTGTTGCCTCTGACTCCAGGTCTGCAAGCGCAGCCCGACAAACCTTTCCTTCCCAGAGTGGGGTGCAGGCTTTCAAACACACCCAGAATGCATCCTGGGGGCAGGGCCCCGGGGAAAGTGTTCTGGGGTCTTCTCTCTCCATCCCTCCCTCCCAAGGAGCTCTCAGGACAGTGGCCCCCACAGGTACGGTCTGGCTCAGATCTGTCTTCTGCTGCCCTGCTGCCAGCCTGAGCATCTATTGGGAAGGATTCTACTTGGGAATCAGGGAAACCTGAGTTTGAATCCTGGCTTTTTCACTGACCATGGAGTGATTTGAGACAGATTTTTCGACCTCTTTTGGAAGATAGGAATGATAATATTCAGCTCACAGAGTTGCTTTGAGGGTTTGGTGAAATGGTGCATGTTAAGCACTTAGCACAATATTGGGCAGAGTAAATGTGCAATAACTGTTTCCATGTTGATGCCGCCGCTGCTGCTGTACCACAACGGATGCCCAATAAATGTGACTTCTTTTCCCCACTCACTTCTTATCCTCTCTGATGCCAGGTCACATGCTCTATAACATGAGGCCACCAGAGCTGGCTAAGGTCTCTCTGGCCGCAGCTACTCTCACTCCCACATTCTGGGTCAGCAAGGCTGCTGCTGCCACCTATACACCTGGCCCACTAGGAAGGCCGGAACCCACCTGTGAAAACACTTTGACAAATCACCAGGTACCTAGAGGTTTATAGCTGGCTTTAGGAAAGGGCCAAACAGAACCAGGCACTAAAAGGAAATGGGACAGAAGGTGAGCAGGTTTCTGAGTGGGCCTGGAAGCTTCAGAGATGTTCTCAGACCTCACCTGAGGACTGCCTGTTTGAGTGCTGCCTCCAGGATGCCTGGGGCCTCAGTGTCTCCCAGGGCCTAGTCCTGAACATGAATCTTTGATAGTCTCCCCCACAGACTCCCCAGAGCCCTCCTGCAAGTCTCCGAGGGTCCTGCCATGGCCCTGGTTCCACCGCATAAGGAATGCCTCTCCTACACGTGGATTTTCTCAGTCTCCTGGGTACCTGACCTGGAAGATGTCTGCTCGTAGTGGCATCATCCTTGGCTGCCCAGCTTCTGAACCTCTATTGGTTTAGGGGGAATTTCTCGCTTATGAGTCTGGTGGATGGCAAAGTCTGCCTCCCATGAGAGATTAAAAATGCCAGCCTCTTGCCTTCCAGGCTCCCCTCCTCTAGGTTGTGGCACGGGGCTTACGCTCAGCGAATCAGATGTAGTGACCCAGACTCGGAATAAGGAGCTGGTGTAAAGAAACAGGGAGAGTGGAGAATCCTGGCTGAGATGAGTGGGGCAGTGGAGCAGCAGCAGCCAGTTTGCAGCTGGGCTATCTAGGCGTACTGGGCTATCCGTGTTCAACACTGGCAGAGTGTTGTTCTCACAGATCTAGTTCTGTGGAGTGATGATCATGGCCGTGTTTCTCCCTTAGCTCCCCTTATTCTTGTCTGTTTTCCAAACCAAGTACTCCAGCTTTCCTTTCCAAGTACTCCTCTCCTTTCTGAACTTTCGAGAAATATTTGAATAAACGCATTTTCTACTCATGTCTTCCAGAGTAGGTTTTTGTAGCTAGCAATTCAGAACCTTGATTGACATATCCCTTCTCTCTTGGTGATTTCTCCTGTTATGACCTTTGGAAGCTATACCCGATCCCTGACCCGTTCTAGTCATTTCTGTTGATTTGTCTGAGATATACATAGTAGTCTTCAGTAGGGCTGGCTCCATCTTTCAAGAAAGGCAGTCTTCCTCTTTTGTGCTAAGCTAGCATGTGGGCGGTTTCCTGTTCCTCAGTCAACCCAAGGGATGTCTCTAGCAACCAAGCATATTGGACAGCTGAGATGAGGAAAGGACCGTGCTGAGCCCAGCTTGGGCGGCCAACTCTATCCACCCTTCTCAAAGGTGCTCTGACAACCATGCTCAGGTCTCCCATGAGGTCCTTCGTTCAAGAAAAACACTCTGATTTGATTTGAGGAATCTGTATATGAGATGATGTCCAAGCTATATTAGGGGGGACAAAAGCAAGGTCCTGAATATTATGCATTATACCACCCCATTAAGAAACACACATGCATATTTGTATGTAAACATGTAAGGAGGTGAAAAGTTAGTTAATTCAATAGCCAGACCTAGAATTCCACTTAGAGAATTGTATCTGGTGGTCCACGCTGGCTGCTGAAGTGGAGGCTGAGGAACTGTCTTGAAGGAGACTATGAAACAGAGATGGCCTCAACTGTTCTGTGCCTTCCCTATACAGGCATCTGTGTGGTAATGAATAGTGGGAAACGAGGAGAGGTTACAGAAGGGAAAACAGGGAATAGAAGAGGAGGCTGAGGTCTTCCCCACCTCCAAATGATGACCAATGAGGAACTTCTAGTGGCAGAAAGCTGGAGAACTTTTAAATGCAGGGATGGCAATAAAATTGACACTGGGCTTAACTAGTGCTAAGAGATTTTAAAAATCATGGTATGGGTACCACATCCACTCATGTAATCCTGACAACAGACGGTGACATCTAAGATACAGTAGGTAAGGAAAAAGTCATTCAGAATGGTGAGGCACATTATCTAGCAAGCGGTGGAATTGAAATTGGAACCTGGGCCATCCAACTACAAAACTTGAACTACCAGGCTCTGGTGCCTCTAGTCGGATGAGTGCAGCTTAATGGGGAGAGGTGTAAGTCTTACCAAGAACCCCATGGAGAAGGGGTGATGCCCACTATTGAAGGGCAGGTGGTTTCTGCCCAAACACATTTGAACCCCAATACATGGCTTACAGAGATACCAACTTTAAGATAATGTTTCAGTATTAGTTTTTGGTGTGGGAAAATATGTGTAACATACAATTTGCCATTTCAACTATTTTTAAGTGTATAATTCAGTGGCACTAATTACATTCACAATGTTGTACAACCATTATCACTATCTGCAAAATTTCTTCATTACTCCAAACAGAAACTCTGTATCCATTAGGTGATTCCCCATTACCACTCCCCCATGGTAATCTTTAATCTACTTTCTGTCTCTATGAGTTCGTCTCTTCTAGACAGTTCAGGTAACTGGAATCAGACAATATTTGTCTTTTTGCGTCTGGCTTCTTTCACTTAGCATGTTTTTAAGGTTTATCCATGTTGTACCATGTACTAGAATTTTCTTTCTTTCTGAGGCTGAATAATATCCCATTGTGTGTACATACCGCATTCTGTTTATCCATTCATCTGTCCATGGACACTTGGGTTGCTTCCACATTTTGGCTATTATGAATAATGCTGCTACGCATATTGGTGTAGAAATATCTCTTCAGGTCCCTGCTTTCACTTCTTCTGTGTATATATAGCCAGAAGTGGAATTGCTGGATTGCATGGTCACTTCACGTTTGATTTTTTGAGGAACCACCATATTGTTTTTTTACAGCAGCTGCACCATTTTACATTCTTACCAATAGCGCAAAAGGATTTATTTCTCCCCATCCTCCCCAACACTTGTTATTTTCCATTTTTTAAAAAAATCACAGCTATCCTAATAGTATTACTTTAAAAATTGGAACTATAAATAAATAAATAAATCTTCACCAGAGCTTTTCTAAGATTCAGTCTATACTACCTGGCAAGAATAAAGCACTAGCATCCTGGAGAGTCACGCATAGAGTCCTCCACGAGTGCCAGGGAAGGGCGTTTTCTGGACTCTGGCACAGCCCACATCAATATTTCCCAACAGTTCCACCAGAGCTCAGCACAATTTCAGGCCTGAAGCTCCCCTGGCTACCTCTGTCTCCTAAGGTGACCTGGAGATAACAGACTCCTCTGTGGGCAGGGGTTAGTGCCCCAAAGGAGTGTCAGCCAGCACCGGTGTGGGCCAGGCTGAAATGCCAGCCACCTCCTGCTAAAAGTCAGAGCCATCTGA